GGTCCCATTAAAAAGTTTCTTCAGTCTAATCTAAATAATTTCAAGCTAATCCATATCTGAAATGTGTTTTATTTCATCTTTCATATCCTTAATCTCAGCTCGGACTATTGTTAAGTTAGATATTTTCTCTTTTAAGAAAGCAATTTCTTTCTCTCTTTGTAGTAAGTCAGTAACCAATCTCCCAATGCGTACTGTTAAATCATTTACCAAGGGTTCCAAGCGGGAAAAGTCCTTCTTTAGATTATACACCTTTGGTTTTAGATCATTTGCAAAAGTCACTGTCTTCAGAACTTTAGCTCTGTCACTTTCTAAGCTTAAAAATCTATCTGTGTGCTTGCTGAAATCACTCTGTAGCTCAGAAAGTATCTTCTTAACAGAGTTAATTCTTTGTGAATTGTCAGATGCTGTCTTTCGGAGCATTGTTGTTCGGTCAATGCTACTTGAAAGAAGATCACCTATGTTTTTTACTGTATGTTTTTCTACTTTTTCTATTTTATTTTCTAGTTCTTGAACAGAATCTGTCAATGATGTTACATCAGTTACTACACCTGAAATACGTCGCATATCTGTTTTTACAGTTGTAATCTTGAGACCGACATCTTTTGCCATGGAAGTTGTACTTTGGTCTACTTTTGTAACATCTTCAGAAACAGTGGTCAAATTGTTGTTCAATATATCCTGCTTTTCAGTTATTCTGTTGGACCAAGTTTTCACTTCGTAAATCTCCTCCTGTAGACGCTTTAGATGAGTAATTATTTGAAAAGACTTCAATTGTTCTATGATAGCTTCAGACTTCTGACACTGTAAGAAAATATAGTACCAGAATAATTAAATGGAGTGAAAGCTTAACATTTAAAATTCAACTTAAATTTTAGGTGTTATTTTAAACTATAAAGTTACTGCTCTTCTGGAAAGCATTTGGTAAAAGATGCATCAAGTGTATTGCTAATGAATAGGAAGGGAAACATTGAGGAAATTTCATGTGACTGCAAATGGCATTTTCCAGTTATTTTGGCACCACCAGTCCTCTGCATGGTGACAAAATGAGCTAAATGAGGGGAAATGATGTATCTTCAGTTGCTGGAGAAGGGAGGAGGAAGCCCCCTCTAGATGAGTTTCGCTAAATTTGGGGGGGTCAAACAAGACAACATGACTTCTGAAATGCAAGTTTGTTTGTAGGTACAAGTGCTAGAATGAAGGGACTTTATTGTCCTATTACTTTTATGAATACTTTCCTGGGGTATTGAACTAATTCCATTCAATTAGTAATCCTTAAGTTCCTAGTGTGTTGTCAGGCATGTGAAGTCTGAGGAACATAAAGATGAGTACAGCTTCGGTTGTGGCTTCAACTCAGTTCAGTAGTTTAATAGAGATGATAAATATGTAAAAAACAAAACAACAAACAGACAAAGCACTATCTCCAAGGTTCTAAAATTCCAAGATTCCAAATACAAGTGATTCTCAACTTTTGGATGTTTCAATGCCATCCTCCTTCCCCAGCATCCATTGAATACTGATGTCTCTAAATTGTTTTGGTTTAACTTGGACAAATCAGCTGATGAACATTTTGAGCCACACAACTGCCTGGCAACATTTCAAGTTGTTATTTTTGTTGTTGTGTGCATGTGTATGTGTGTTTATATAGCAGTTTTGGGGAAGTTGAGTTATTTTATTGTATTTTTAATATTTGAATTTTTATTGCATTGTACCATCAGTTAATAAAGTTAAGAGGGAAAGGGGAATATTAAAGTGTTGATTATAGTGATAAGATGGGTAAGTATCATAAATAATACAAAATTGAAAATTAAAACATACATGCATGAGGTCTATCCATGTTGTCACAAATGGCAGGATATCCTTTCTCAAGGCTGAATATATCAATGTATCACAGTATCATGTTGTACACTTTAAATTTACACAATGTTATATGTCAAATTTATTTAATTAAAAAAAATAAAACACGTAGGAATTGTCAGGTTTCAATTAAGTTTCAATCAGAAGATTAACTTAAGCCTGTGCGCTGTATGCTAAACTATGAAGAAAAAAAATTAAAGAACAAATGTAAAATACATTGTCAAAGCCTGTGTTGTAACACAGATATACATTGTGATTACATTGAAAAAAGAAATCCCATTTATAACATGTAAGTCAGTTGTTCCACTTTGCACTTTTAACTTTCAGCTTGTTTTCTAGGAAAGCATTGTTTTATTTATTTATTTTTATTTTTTTGCGGTACGCGGGCCTCTCACTGTTGTGGCCTCTCCCGCTGCGGAGCACAGGCTCCGGATGCGCAGGCTCAGCTGCCATGGCTCACGGGCCCAGCCGCTCCGCGGCACGTGGGATCCTCCCGGACCGGGGCACGAAGCCGTGTCCCGTGCATCGGCAGGCGGACTCTCAACCACTGCGCCGCTAGGGAAGCCCGGAAAGCATTGTTTTAAAGTGGAGATTGTCTATAGCTTTCTACTAATAATCAAAACCATCTTGATTCAACAACGTTTACTGTGCACGAATAGGAAGGAAATCAAGCAGTGAGTGCAAAACCTTAAATTTTATTTTTTAGGGGAAAGTTTTGCAATAAATTGTATTTGCTGAAAGAGATTTTCAAAGGTGAAAGGAGAGGGCTTACTTTCATCTATTTCATTACTAGGTTATCATTTATTAATGTATCTAATCTGGTAGAGTTGAGATAGCTTAACAGCATTAAACAAGACATCTCAGAAAGGGCTAAATTTATTCTTAGAAGTATAAGATCATTAAGAAACTGTTAGTAAGCCTCTTTGTCACACTTGGTAGGCTATAAAAGCAATTTATTACTAACTTCTATTAGTCTTCACTAAAATAGAAACTCAATACAGTATAGGAGTAGCCTAGAAATTGTTTCACTGAATTATGTTTAAAGATTACAATGGCTTGTTTAAGCTATTTGCTTAAGATGAACAGAAGAGTTGGAGTCTATTGGTAGCTTGAAAGATTCACCCAGTAATTTGAATACTTACTAATATTCCTGTTCCTATCATATGAGCCAGGTACTAAGCTAGATGCTGCCCTGCAATGTTAAATGTTGTCTGGATCTACAAGCAAAACAACGTGAGTCAAGGGAATGATTTGTGGGTCCAATCAGCCTTCCAGAAACTTTGCTAAAGGATCTTTGGACTGTACTAAGGGATCTGGAAATTTTATTGATCTCTAAAGTTTAAAACCACTTAAAGCCAGGAGAGATTTTAGAAATTATTTGGTACAATTCCTTCATTTTACAAATTAAAAAACTGAGCCCCAAAATAAAGTGCCCAAGAACACAGAGTCAGTGGCAAAGCCTAGATTAGAAGATTCTATTCTAGGGTTTTTTTCTCCTCCACTGCTTTCTCACTCTTCCCTAAACATTTATTGATTCTTTCTTATGCCCAAGGCCCAAATCATTTTAGGTCACAGTTACAACTTTTGAGGGACTTACAGTCTAGTTTAATGGCAACATAGTAGTGGGCGCATTTGACTGAATTATAGCTTTCTGAATTCTCAAGATAGTTCTACTGACAGCTGATTTCTTGTGATTTTTTTTTTTCCCTCCCTGGTTGAACAGCAGCAGGTTGCACTGTATAGTGGGAGGTCAGTGGCCTCTGGAATTGGACAGACTCAGCAGTGTGATTGTAAGATTCCTAATCTTGCTGAACCTCAATTTCCTCATTTGTAAAAGGGGTCTCATAGCTAGCAAAGCTGTGGTGAGAATCTGTGATAACACATGCAAAGTGCCTAGCACAATGACTGGGACAGGGTAGATACATACTCAATACATGGAGCTGTTAGGATGATGACGAATGTAGGCCTCCTAGCAGTGTGACACATAATAGGCTCCAAAATGTCGGTTCTATCCTTCCCTGCTCTGTAAAGCTGGGATGGAGCATTTTGATTTGTGTTAAATTAGTAGTTCATAGCTGAAGTGACACAGATACTGGGTGAATTTGCAGAGCTTTTGCCAACTGTGCAAATATGAGGTAAATCTACAGAGAAATGCATTAAAAATTATGTTTGGTGAATATGACATCATGTTAATCTTTGGCCAAGATTATAGATTCACACAAAGACCTACAATTAGATTAAAATTAAAATAATGCCATTGGAGATTCCCTGGCGGTCCAGTGGTTAGGATTTCACGCTTTCACTGCCAAGAGTGTGGGTTCAATCCCTGGTCCGGGAACTAAGATTCTGCAAGCCGCATGGTGCAGCCAAAAAAAAAAAAAAAAAGCCATTAACTTTGTATCTTACAAATTTAGTTTTCTATCAATCCATACAGGCTAATAAATCAACATTTTTCATTATAAAATATAAAAATACACTTAGTCAACAGCTTCTCATCTTTAGGCAAAATTTAAGGAAATATTACTACAAATATACTTTTTAACTTTACATTGAAGGGTTAAGAAAATTAGGTGTTTGTTTTGTAAAAGTGATTTATATGGCTAATTAAGAAAATGGACACTACTCTCAGAAACTTAATGTAAAATTTATTATTAATTACAAAGATACAAAAATGTGTCTTAGGATATGGTAATCTTCCTTAAAGGGAAAACTAACAATGTAATTTAATATTTGATACACAGGAAAGTTTTTGAAATTTCAAGTATCTTTGTTAAATAAATGAATTTAAGAAACAGAGGAAGACAAACTAGGTACATCTAAATCTCTCTAGTGACAATTTTTTATAGGAAAACCCCTGAATAAAGGAATATATACATGTGTATATACATGTACACAATATTTTCTCATGAAATACTTGTAGAAGGGCAGTTTTTGTTTCCCTTGTAATTGTCACTATAGAGCACAGTGGCCACCTTATTTCCATTTATTTTCTGTAACCATTACTATGGTACATACCGTAGTTAATAATAATGATGTGTCAAATCTGGTGACACACCAATAAATAAATAAATAAATAAATAAAAGTAAAGAGTACAAGAGATCACATATGCCCTGGCAGGATGGAGGTTGAAACGACAAAGTTCCAGTTAACTTTATAATCTATTTTATTAGCATGCAAATAAAAGCAAACAAATACAATTTTGTTAGTATACACAGACAAGAACTTAGATATTCAGAAGTCAAGAAATTTAATGTTAATATTCTAGGAATTAATGCTATGCCTATGACCCACGGCTGTCTACCATAGGCCTTCCTAACCCCAAAGTAGAACTTATTTGGGATTTTTCAAAAAATGTACAGATTTACATGATAAAACCACCTGACCACAACTATCTTTTGTAACTGACTTCTTTCAAGTTCTTTGTGTTTAATTCCACTGAAATTGCATTATAAAACTGGGACTATAGTTGGTTATTGGCAAGAAGAAACATGTTGTTAGAACAGCACTTTCAAAGGCAGTTAACTCAGTTTTTTCAACACCAACCTTGGACACCCTTGATACATCAGTTTACCAATAAAAGTGTTATGTGCTTCCCCAAACTTGCACATTTCCGATTATCATTATTGCAAAAATCTGTCTAGACCTCCCCTTAATTTCATCTCAATATGTCCATGTCTTATTCTTTCTGACTGTATTATATAATTTTGTGTAAAATAAAATCACTATGTAAAACAAATTTGGTTGGGTAATTAGTTTGGGGACTCTAAAATAATGACATATTTTAGTTACCATAATTATCACATCATATCTCATTATGCTGCTTTTTCTTCTTTAAAATAGGCCACAGGCTTATTAGTGTATTTTTATTGCAAGTAGAAAATTTATCTAGAGATCATGTACCTAGCAAACACAAGAGTCTGTAACACAGTTAGAACCTTAAAAAAAAACAAAACAAAAAACGCCCAGGTATACAAAGATATTCCCAAAGTCCATACTTCACAGGATGCACACTTAATTCATAGGGAAAACTTTCAAAAAGAACACATTTACTCTTTAAAAAAATTTCTTACAAGTATCTATAACAGTTTAGAGCTTTAACAAAAAGTAAAAATGTTTCCCAGTCTCCATAGTTTTCAAAAAGTGCATATTAATTCATAGCAAAGCATTCCAGGCTCTCCCTCAGGCATGTTATCTTTTATTTTAGACAAAATTCCTATAAACTTGGTTGTCTGGATTCTTAGCCTGCAGTAAATTGCGAAGGAAATGAAATACTGGCTGAGGTGAAAACATTACTGATCAACCTGACAGTAAGATCAGGTCAGTGGGTCACTTTTTCAGGTGACAGAAAAGGTATAAGAAATAGAAGGTTTGAAAAATAGCAAACTGGGGTTGAGTGAGGAGGTAAACACCCCTCAATAGCTCCTAGGGACATTAATATATTTGGGTCCAATATGACAGATGAAATTCACAATAATGTCCATTAATTATTAGAAAAACATTTAAAAATATTAAGTATATTGCTTCAAGAAAGTAGAGAAATATATATTTTAGAAATGTTTCTATTTAAAATGGTGAAAATGAAATAAGTTTTATTGCTTAAAAAGATAAGCTTTGACTCTCTGGATAACACATCTGTGTGGACACCTCACTTATTTTCCAATAATGTAGGGTAAAGTGAGGCATATCAAAATAACTCAAAAGCATGGAACTAATCAGGTTATGTATAATAATGTGGTTCACCAGGATAAATGTAGTTCATTCAAAAATCACTATCAATTCCTTTATTTTCTAGATTATATTCTTCTGGAGTCCCCTTTTCTCTTGTACTTGAATATACTATAAAATCATGAACTTTTCCTTTTAGAACATCCAGTTCATTCTGCATCTTTAATATGCTATTATCATACTGAATTCCTTCAAGGGTTTTCTGCATCTCCATTATTTCAGATACTGCTTTCAGCATATCATCTTCCATATTAAACATCTGAAGAGTCAAGTCTTCCATTTTCTTTTCTGTCCCTATCAGATCCTGAGAGACTCTGAGAACAGAGCGAATAGCATTTTCAATTGTTGGCAAATGTGTCTTGCATTCTTCAGCTTTGGGTTCGTAGCTGGAAAGTTTATTAGTCAGGTCTTCATCTCTGGCAAAGAGAGCATGCTGTTCCTCCTCTAACTTTTCAAGTGCTTCTGTGTCGGAGCCAAGCTGCTCCTCTACTCGCAGAAGATCCTCTTCTTCTTGTCTTTTTATAGTTCTAATATTTCTTAGTGTGCTATCTTCCAAATCTTTTAGCCTTTCAGTGAGCAATTTTATTTCTTGTTCAGCTGAGTTAATTTGGACAGTAACTTGAGAATGTATATGTTTTGATTCTGATTTGAAAATGTCTGTATTAACATTCATTTCTTCTAGGCTTCTCTTCCAGAAATCTGTGACGTTCTGGAATTTCTCATTAAGGCTTTGCATCTTTTGAGTGAGCATCTCTTCACTATTCTGAATGTCATGCATGATACTTTGGAGGCTGGATACTTCCTGCTCAAACTGGGTCACCAAAGACATGGATGATGTAGCTTCCTGCAGGATACTTTCAGTAGTTGCAAGCTGCATTTATAACACAAAACAATTCCCAAGGCTACTTAATAACTTTTATATTAGGGAAACATACTTTAACAATCACTTGCCAAGTTCAAATTCTGAAGATGTCTAAAATATCCAAATACATAAGAATCATACAGACAAAAACAATTGTTACATATTTAAGCTGTTAAAAATATGTTTTAAACACATTTAATAGATTAGCACTATGGTAGAAAAATACGGTTGTCCCTCATCCCTAGGTATCCACCTGTGGGGCACTGGTATTCCTGTGGATACCAAAATCCATGGGTGCTCAAGTCCCTCATGTAATATTTGGATGGGGAACCCACAGATACAGAGGGCCAACTGTATACACCTGAACTTATAATCCTAAATATTTGTGCATTTTCATGGAGGGATATTCAAAAGAAAAATAATGTTAAAGAAGCCTGAAGTATATCACATTTCCTTCTTTTTTTATTCCAATGGAAAGCAACTTAGCTGTCATTTTAATAGTTATTTAGCTTTTTAGAAACTGACTTAGTTATAAAATTTGTTAACTTTCCTAAGTTCTATGATTCTGGAAGACTTTCTGCCTGAAAAAAAAAAATTTGTTGACTGACCTCTTGCAGAAAAGTTACCAGAATCAGATCTTATAACTATCACAAAGGCAAAAAGTGAATAAAAAATCAGTTTACAGAGACAACTGATGTCAAACAGTAAAGTGTTCTAAGTATCTATAAATTATGGTAAGCTACTAGCATCTCCTAAAATGTCTAGAATATAGAAGGACCAGGGTGTGGACCTCTTTCTTAGCCTATACTCACACAAAGATAACAGCCTTAGAGACTATAGGAAGGCCTAGAAATGATCGTTAATTTATCAAATGTTTGCAGCATTATGTTGAAGACATAATACTGTACAAGACACAGTTCTGCCCTTAAGCAGCTTAGTTTACTTGGGGAGAAAGCAAAGTCTACATGCGCTGTGACAGGGAAAGAGCTATGGAAGCACTTACATAGGGCATCCAAACCGAACTTCGATGATCAAGGAAAATACTATAGAAATATTATCTAACAGCTGCTTCTAGTTACTTCCTCTAAATCATCCTACACACTACAGCCAGATTTAAAGTTTTAAAAACTGCTATGTACACCATGGTAGAACATTAAAAACCCCTTAACGTTTCCTAACACTTCTAGGAGGAAGTCCTAAATTCCATAACTTCTCTATATGTTAGCCTTCCTTCTTTGTCTAGCTAAGTTCTGTCCTTCCTTCAAGGCTCACACCAGGTGTCAGGTTTTCAGTGCAGCATTCTTCCATGACCCTAGCCATGAGAGCCTGAACTCCTGTAGAATCTATCATATTACATATTTGCCACTTATTTGGCATTTAGCGCATATAATTCAAGAATTCTTGAGTGTTCGCTCTGTGCCAGACCTTGTGCTAGACACTGGATATAAAAACAAAGATACAGTATAGTCCCTATACTGATGAATTAGCCAGGAGAAGCTATGAGAGCTTCTAAATTCCTTAGGGGAAGAGACCATGTTTTATGCCTTTTTGTAGTCCCCGTATCTCAGGGTATAAAGAACATGTTTCTTGATATTTAGGAAGAAGAATGGCCAGAAGCCTCCTGGGTCCACCCCAATCAGGACCTGAAGCAGTTCCAGGTGATAGCTGGGAACAATGCATAACAGTATCACTCTGAAACCTTGTTTAAAAATTATTTTTAATGTATACATGTAGCTATAATACAATCTCCTTTAAAAACACCAACTATGAGAAATACTTGTACATTGGTAATAGTGTTATGTTTAGTTGTCTTATTAGCAGCATCTTGCAGAGACAAGCTTATCTTAATCCAAGGTAATTCCTTGTTTAGGCTGTTCACCAGAGCATCACTATAACCTGGAGGCAGTATAACCCAGGAGACTCCAATTATAAGATCAACTTTTCAGGATAACAAAGGTCTCAAGACTTAATCTGCAAACAATAAGTGACTAGCACACCACAATAGCTAGCATTTATGGGCTGCCATTATAGTCTAATAGTTTTTCATTTTTTACAAAAGTTAATATCTTAAATTTATTACTGCTTGGAAGTTTTCAAAGAGCTCGCATATATATTGTATCTCATCTGATCCTTACACAAATCCTGATATTCTCATTTAATAAATGATGAAATAGAGGCCAAGAGAAGTTAAAGTGATTTTTCCAAAGTCACACAGTTATGATGAGAGCCCATGTCTAGTTGTTTTCCCCTCCTATTGCATTAAGCTGGCCTTTAGGGCCAGCTTTGTAAAGAGTCAGCTATTGTTAAACTACTCCTAGGGCAGACTGGCAGAGAACGAACTATGTGAAGACAATATTTCTTGGATCCTAGGATGATACTTTAAATGTCTGCTTCAAAGGCATTTATTTATTTACTTTTAATTGAAGTATAGTTGATTAACAATCTTATATTAGTTTCAAGTGTACAACATAGATTTACAGATTATACTCCATTTAAAGTTATTGCAAACAAATGGCTATATTTGCCTGTGCCATAAAATACATCCTTGTTGCTTACAAAAGCATTTTTGTAATCTACATGAGTTTTATTAAAAACATTGCCCATTATAAAATTGGCCACGTAGTGGAAAGTAAGAAAAAAATGAATATTTAAATTTATGCATGGAGAAGCCCTTAGGTTTACATTCTCAGTCTACCAAACTGTAGATTTAATACAAAAAATTTAGGACACGGACTTCCCTGGTGGCACAGTGGTCGAGAATCCACCTGCCAATGCAGGGGACACGGGTTTGAGCCCTGGTCTGGGAAGATCCCACATGCCGCGGAGCAACTAAGCCCGTGAGCCACAACTACTGAGCCTGTGCTCTAGAGCCCGCCAGCCACAACTACTGAGCCCGTGTGCCACAACTACTGAAGCCCACTCGCCTAGAGCCTGAGCTCCGCAACAAGAAGCCACCACAGTGAGAAGCTCGCGCACCACAACGAAGAGTAGCCCCCACTAGCAGCAACTAGAGAAAAGCCTGAGCACAGCAACAAACGCCCAACGCAGCCAAAAATAAATAAATTAAAAAAACCCCCTTAGGGCAGTATTCCACCTTACAGCTGCTTAGGAGTAATTAGATATTAGAAGAGGGAAACTAGAGGGCTACTGGGGAGAGATACTGAGAGTGATAGCCGACAGGCCAGGCTCTAATCTCCTGTAATATTTGACTTCAAATTCTAATCATATGTTAAATCTTTGTCCTCCTTACCGGGTTCCAAGCTTGCAAGGCAGAGATTCACTAAAAGCATTTTAATTGCTGCCAAATTTTTCATTTAAAAAGGAAATCTTTCTTCAAAATATGTTTTCAATAGCATTTAAGTACATGAAGTTTCTATTTCCTGAAATTTTTTCTATCATTACGTTTGCTCTGATTAGAGGGCTTTCGATAACTACAATCAGTTTCCAACCTGAGCCCTAGGTCAAAATACCAACTCTTGCAGCACCTTCCCAGAGGCCTCTAAACTCACCCTCCATGGAATTCACTGGCACGTGTAAGGGATGATTTTAATCCATGACTCTTATCTTTTTGGGGACTACAGGCTTATTCTGTGCATCAGGCTGCAGGGACTTCGGCCGGCCGTCTATTTCATTTCTATTTTTGCAACATCTTTGCTTACCCTGGGGCCAAGCGCAAATCCTTTTCTACCTTATCACTGAGTAAAGGCTCAGTGATGAACAAAGGAACAAACAAGCCATGTTTCCCAATGATAGCTTGGTCTCTGGTAGCCAGACAAGGCCCACATGATGACTTATTGGTTGCAGCTGACCTTCTCCTGAGACATGTGGTAGTTAAAAATTTTTTATCTGTCTCACATTTCTAAAAATCACAGTAGTAATGCACTTGTATTTGCAGCTTGAAGAAACACAAAATAGACATGGATTTTAATTTTCATTTGTCTATAAAAATCAATATTTATTTTAGGTTAGTCATTCTTATATGCATATGAATATATATGCTTACCAAGTGGAAATAAAGAAAAAAAACTGATGGATCTTAGTCCAAAAAGTGCTACTCCTATTTTAATTTTATATCTAAAGATCAATAATATTTTCAGTGCCCTAGATACTTGATATTTAAATAGAAAATTGAGGTCACGTCAATATGACAATATTGGTCTTTTTAAACAATAACATTTGTCATATATTAGAAAATTCTTGTCCTTTTGAAATGTAAGCTAAGACTAAGTTGGATTAAAGGGAGAATGTGAAGAAGTAGGAAAACCAGTGAGAGTTAAAGTAGTAATGGTCTAAAAGGCAGGGAAAAAGAATTTATCAACTGGGGTAGAAGGGTGGCAATGGGGAAGAAAAACGGTAAAATCTCCCCAAATATGCCAATTAATAATTACCTTTTCTGAAATTAAACTGATTTTACTTTGAAGCCCTTGGAATTCGTTGGTTTCCATTTTCAGTAACTGGTACTGGTTTTCCACCTTTGCAAACTTCTCCGACTGCTGAAATACAAACCTGAAAAAGGGGGAAAAAAAAATCACTACTTCCTAACTCAAACCCATTTAAGTTCGGATGTTAAAGCAGTATTTTATGCCCACTTCTGGTAAGGACAACATAAATTCTGGTATAGGTAGTGGCAGCTTTTATAAGAAGGGAGGAGTGAGTACGCAGTCCAGTGGTTCAATAGCTTCACTGCATATTGGAGTCGCCTGGCAGCTTTACTTTTTAAATTTTTAAAATTTATTTATTATATTTTTGGCTGCGTTGGGTCTTCGTTGCTTTGCCCGGGCTTTCTCTAGTTGCGGTGAGCGGGGTGTACTCTTTGTTGCGGTGCGCAGGTTTCTCACTGCCGTGGCTTTTCTTGTTGTGGAGCACGGGCTCTAGGCGCGCAGGCTTCAGTAGTTGTGGCACACAGGCTCAGTAGTTGTGGCACGCGGGCTCTAGAGCGCAGGCTCAGTAGTTGTGGCGCACGGGCTTAGTTGCTCCGCGGCTTGTGGGATCTTCCTGGATCGGGGCACGAACCCGTGTTCCCTACACTGGCAGGCGGATTCTTAACCACTGCGCCACCAGGGAAACCCTCACCTGGCAGCTTTAAAAAAGTGTAATGCCTGGGTCTTACCACAGAAATTCTGACTTAATTGGTTTGGGATGTGACTTAGATATTGTAAATTTTCAAATCTCCTAGCCAAGATGACAACGACAAGTTGACACTTTATTGTAAAAATGACTTCCACTGCAAGACAAACATTTAAAGATTCAAAACTCAACGGAGAGGTGATTGAATCAAACTCATAAATATCATTAGGCTAACTGTTGCTTATAAAACTGTCCAAAACTAAAATGGAGTTTTTGCATTTTAAACAAATGTTTACAATGTCAGATGAAATAAATTTCTTTTGATGATGGCTAATGTTTATTCTATGAGATAACAGTGAATTAAGTAAGCCCAGGTTACATAATTAGTACAGACTGACTTCTCCTGTGTGTTAATATGAACTTTTAAACAAAACTTCTCGTTATTAGAAAACACTATTATCCTAATTTCAAAGAAGGATGTGTAGACAATTCTTTTCTGATTGGCTATTTCATTCTTGGCTTTTAGGGACCAGCAGACAGAGATGAAGGAGAAAGACGGTCTAAAGAAATGTCTAATTTCAGGAACTAGTTTTATCATCCATTACTCCACTGTTAACCTCATGGATTTATCCTATAGATCAGTGTGTTCATTTAGAATAAAATCATTATTATAAGAGGGATTTCTTATGAAGGTTGATCCACAAAAATTAATTACAGGACTTTCTGTTTTATTTAATCTTTTTAATGTTATCTCCACTCTTCTCTTCAAAATTCAAATATTAAGCAAAAGCTTGAAGAAAACTGTATCATATTAGTGACCATCTCTGATGATAATTTGTAGAGTTTTTTTCATGGTTAGCTTCTCACCAAAATAAAAAAATAAAATTCACTATTTCTATATGTGAATAGTGCATAAAAGAAAAAACAAGTATAAAGTTTACTTAGTGCTAGTAATGAAAATAATCAACAGTGGTCTGTATGATGCTGAGTTAAAATACATTTGTTTTATTTTCACTTACAAGTGCCAGACACTATTCTAAGGGCATTATAAATATTAACTCATTTAACATTAAGGAAGAGAATGATTTTTCTAGAAGCCAAAAATGTACACTAGAGAAGGTGGTTTCAATTGTGAAACATTAATTTTTGAAACTGGCATCCAGATTATGCCCAAGGTGCTTTGTTTCCTTTTTATGAGTCAGAGGCATTTTCTAACAGGAGCAGTTCAAGACCTCCTTACTCCCTATCTTCCTTCGTTTAGATGAGACAACAATTAGGGTCTGCTAAAGGCTACAGCTTCTAGGAGAAGAAAGGATTATAAACAATTCTGGATTAGGGATTTCTATTTCTAGGGTCTTGGCCTCTTTTTGGATTAATATCAAAGGTAGACCGCATATCATACTGGTTGAATGTGAAGCTAGGCAACTTTGGCTCTGCCATTTACTAGCTGTACAAGCACCTTGGGCAAGTTATTTAACTTACCTTTGCTAGTTTCCTCATCTGCAAAGTGGGGATAAAACTACTTAGTTCATAGGGTGTTGCAGAGATTAAACAGGTTCATATTAATAAAGCTCTTAAAGTGCCTTGAACATAAAACGTGAACTATTCTCTTTACGTACCTTGGCCCTTTCTTTTGAATTGCTTTGCACAGCTGCTTTTCCCATCCCTCTGACAAGCCTAGAGTGGTAAAATGGATCAGGGCTCCCTTCTACTTAACACTTGATAGAAGCCCCAGGCCTGTCACACTTTGAACCAGGGTTGGGTTTATAGCAAACAAAGGATGAAGTGAATGGATGAGACCCACTAATAGGAAAAGCAGCATTCTCTTACTCTGTTTTGGGGCCTCTTTTCCCTATCATAGATAAAGATCTTGAAGGTATGGATGTATGAGAAAAGCACCCGGATTAATTGGCTACCTTAGTGTAGGCTTTACAAAGGGAATCTTCCTGACTTCTTCATAATCCTTGCAGTTTACAGAGAACTCATATAGATTCAGGGTCCTGTGGGAATAAACCATGTAGTTCCTTGGAGTCTTGTCTCTGCATAGCTCCTTTAGGAGGCCTAGATGTCAGACAGCTGATGGAGGATTTATATATACAGGATTTTTCTCTGGCTCTGTTTCAACTTAGTAATGAGAAACAGTCAGTATCCATTTAGCTGTATGTTTCATACAGCAACTTCATTTTCAGCATAATACTGAAAGTTCAGGAACACACAGACCATATTCCATTTTTAAAAATCAAGGTAATTAAAGGATAACTGTCTTTCAGATTAAACTCCACTAACAACAAAAGCTGAAAAATGGGGTTAGCCAAGATTTTACTGTATAAACGATTTATAGAGAAAGTTGTATTAGAGAAAAAAAACCCCTGAATTATCTGATGGTTGAAAAAGCTTTTGACTTCTGATACATAATTATCACAAATGCTATGACAAACTTTTATAAAGGCAATTAAAAAATCTGTTGAAATTTCCAGAAGAAACTTAAAAGTTTTACAATGGAACTTCTAGTTGACTAAATTTCTATGTAATAAGCTTTTAAGGTTTTGTCTTGTTTAGTACCTTCATAAATTTTAAAAACTTTTTGAAAGCAGAATGTCTTCAATCTCTTACGTGGAAAATTTCCTTAAAGAGTTTATAAATGACGTATGCAAACCAACACTCAGGCCCTATAGTTCTGGGCAACTGTTATCTCCAACATCTTATTGTCAGGCTGACAGAAGATGATTATCAGGACTTTGTTTAATAGAGAGATGTTCAAGTACCACCCTTTTGTTGCATTATCTCTGTTTATTTTCCAAACAAGGATCCAAACACTAATGGTTTGAAGATACTGAAATAGTGATGCCTTGAAATCAACCTCGGACAGTGCAAGGGTTCAAATCTCTGCCCCAACTTAATCAGACAAAATTAGAGTACTCCTAAGCTGTATTTAGGCACATATATTCGATTTTGTATTTTAACAACCAGAACAATGTCAGTACAATAGCATGCAATCAAGATTTGATAGACCAATCTTTAGGTGCTAATCCTAGTGGTAAAAATGTCAGTGGCTTAGTTATAATTCCAGTGTGCTGAGATGCTAAATGTTTGCATTTTCTTTTTTTTTGCGGTACGCGGGCCTCTGACTGCTGTGGCCTCTCCCGTTGCGGAGCACAGGCTCCGGACACGCAGGCTCAGCGGCCATGGCTCACGGGCCCAGCCGCTCCGCGGCATGTGGGATCTTCCCGGACCGGGGCACGAATCCGCGTCCCCTACATCGGCAGGCGGACTCTCAACCACTGCGCCACCAGGGAAGCCCAATGTTTGCATTTTATTTAGAAAATTCCCAAATTTACCACGAATACATATGTGCTATTGTGACCAGAGTATTTATACTTCAACTCTTGTCGCAAAAGATTTCACAAGAGCAATTAACAGTCATTTAATAACAATCATTGAATCTGCCCATTTTAGAAATAATCTTTGAGCATTGTTTTATTATTTTGCAAAGACACAGTTCAAATAAAATCTTCCTACTTGAATATAACTTGTTTGTATCTTTACTGCAGGCACTAACAGTAAATTCCTGAGCTGAAGTGTCTGCTTTTCAACAGTTGTTTTCCTTTATAGATTCCTGTTAGTGTGTTTTCCTAGGACAGTAACTAAATTATTGAAAAGTTGAGCATTTTCTGATGTAATTTATCTCATATGAATATGAATCTTTGGATGAGAATTAACAAATTCAGTAACTAAAACCAGTTGTATTAGGTTCTAGAAAGAAGCAACATATATATTTTAGCCTACTAAGTTCTAGTACTGAATAACTTTCCCAGCACAAAGTTTTTGATTTACCTGAAGAAGGTCATGCAATATAAGACATAAAAGCAGTTTATTTAAAACAGTAAGTTCTGTACATTTATTCTTTTAAGATCAAAATATTCCACAAACAAATATATTAGTAAAATAACAATTTATCTCTTTTTGGAGAGAATATTTAATAATCAACATTTCACTTTATTGTAACAAATCTTTTATTGACTGACTGACTGAGGATGAGTCATCAGTAAAGTATACTTCAAAATTTACTAGCATCAAAAATGTTCTAGACCTTCCCTGGTGGCGCAGTGGTTAAGAATCCACCTGCCAATGCAGGGGACACACGGGTTCGAGCCCTGGTCCGGCAAGATCCCACACGCCACGGAGCAACTAAGCCCGTGAGCCACAACTCCTGAGCCTGTGCTCTAGAGCCCGCGAGCCACAACTACTGAGCCCGCATGCCGCAACTACTGAAGCCCGTGTGCCTAAAGCCCGTGCTCCACAAGAGAAGCCACGGCAATGAGAAGCCCGCGCACCACAATGAAGAGTAGCCCCCGCTCACCGCAACTAGAGAAAGCCTGCGCAGTAACAAAGACCCAAAGCAGCCAAAAAAAAAGGAAAAAATGTTCTAGATGAGAGGACATCCAGGGTTGCTTCTAGAATCCAATTATTCTTGAAGATAAATAGCTATCTTCTAAATACTTCAAAAATCAGTGAAAATGGAGGGAAACTCTAAAGAGTCAGTCTTGTTATTAAAACGAAATAGGTTAATCCTAAAGAATATGATTGAGGAAAACAAAATAAGTTGGTTTTAAGGTTATTTCTTAATATTCATCTTTCCTATGACATCAATATATCGCTATTTGCTTGGTTTAAAAACTATAAGTTTTTAGTTTCAGGTGAACAAAAGTGTTATACTAAAACTCAGTCTGTAACTTAGGAACAGACTTAACGCATGCACAATAACCAAAATAAAAGCTATCTTCCAAAACTTTATATTATCATGCACGTTTGTTGCTTTAAGATCATAATGAATTCTTTTAAGGTTGCAAACGTTGCCACTAGGCATTTATGGGGTGGGGCAAATTTGTCCCAAATGCACAGCGGACAGGAAGTAACGGGTTCTAAAAACGGGAAAGCTTCTGTCCTGTACAGGCGCTTAATGAAATTTGGCCGAATCTGCATTTCTTAATGGTTAACGTTCCCAAACCTTGGCCTCAGCTCCAGCTGGGCGATCGAGGCACGCCAGCAGTACAAAAATAAATTACGAGAAACGAGCGAAAGTTAAAATAAAGGTTGGGCCGTCCCTTCCTTGGGGTCGATGCTGAGGAACAGAAGCCGCAAGCGTGGCGGCTAGAGGTTAGCGGGACGCCGAGCCGGGCGGGGCCGGGGCAGACGCGGGACCCAGAGAAGAGAGGGCGACCACGGGAGGCCGGACACCCGGGCGGCCTCGGACCACTTACCAGGCCAGGCCCAGGCACGTCCCCAGCGACAGAAGGCTCAAGCCGGTCCGGGGATCCGCCCAGCCCCCGCCTCCACCGCCCCGACCCTCGAGGCTCTTCCCGTCCTCGCTTCGCTTCCCAGGCTCCGCTGGGGCTCCCTTGGGCGCCGACCTCTTCCGGCTCTTCCCCTCAGACATGTCTGGAGGTCCTGAGGATGACAAACCCGGGGCTGCCTCTTCACCCTGGGGTAGCGAGACGTGGCCTCCTCAGCCTCCGCGGGAAGGCTCGGCGGTGACCGCGCCCCGTTTCAGACTTGGCACCGCCCAGAAACCAGCCCCCTTCCTCTCCCGGCCATCCTCCCTGCTCCACAGCGTCTCCCAGCCACCCTCTTTCTAGTTCCTCCAGCTGGGGTAAGCGGCAATCCTACTTCCCCAAACTTCTGCGTTAACGCTGCAAAAGCGAGGAAACCGTGGCACCCAGGCGTCTGCAAGCCGCCGGGACGTGGGGGGGGGGGGGGGGGGGGGCGGGGCAGCGCGCGTCGAGCGCGCCGCCGCCTCGGTCCGCCCTTCGTTGGAGCGCGGCGCGCCCCAGTTGGTGCGGCGGAGGCTTTTTTCTGCGCGCGCGGGCACTAGCCGGAACCGGAGCGCGCGCGGCGACGGACGCCTGGAGGGGTTCCGGGTGTGTTTCTTGGCTCGCGCGGGCCGGCGTCGTCCCAGGGGGGCGGACTGGCGGGTTTTCACTGCTCCACGGTCCTGAGGCGGAGAGGCTGGCTTTATTCCTGGGCAGAAAGGGTGAGGGAGCCGGAAGTGAGGCGTCTGGGCTGTCAGCGACCCGCGAGGACTTGAAGTAGACGCGGCGGCGTCCGCAGTGGCTCCGGGCTCCCGCCCGGGTGCAGCTGCAGCGGGAGGGAAGGAACGACAGTCCGAGTGGCGCTCCTTCCTTTGTGTCTGGGTTGGAATACTCTCCTCGGCGCCCCGGGACTGCGTGGGCCGCCTGCGGGGGTGACGCCTCCTCCGCAGGTCGGAGATTCCCGGGGGTCTTCAGGAGCCCCCCGGCTGCGGAGGCCCAGGTGAGACACCTGTGAGGCCCCGACCTGCCCCCGGGCTGTGGCCCGAGCCCCAAATTTCCTTTTGGAAGTCCCGTTGCCTCCACTCACCCCTACCTTGATTTTCCGGTCTGTCCCTTCAGGGCTTCTCTTCCCAGTGAAGACCCAGGTGCGAAGGTTTGGGTAACTTTGCGCCTCGCTTTTCTCCCCGAACCCGGTTCTTCGTATGTTCAGTAGTCGATTTTAGAGACTCAGAATTCTGGGTCAAGGAATTATTATTAATCATTCTGATACTGTACCAGGAAGTGAAATTATCTAAAGAGGAAATGTTTTCCTGGATGAAACTGTTCTTTATATCTCACAAGCCTGGAGAGTACTGACTTTACATGTTGATGTGGTTACGGAAGGTGGGACACTGAGAATTTGTTCAGAATATCTAAATGTGTGCAGAGTTAAAAAACGTATAAAACTTAACGTCTTTAGTTTTAATAGGGCTAGGTAAAGTTGGAAATTAGTTTCAGGTGGTCAGAGTGTGTCTCTTGCCTTAGCTATTGGACAAAAGCTAAGAAGTTCATTTTTGTTTTGTTAAATAGAGTTTTATTACTGAAAAATTAAGGGACGTTTTATGTTTTAATATGATTTTTAAAAAAGTAATTAGTTTATTATTTATTTTTGGTTGTATTGGGTCTTTGTTGCTGTGCGTGGGCGTCTCATTGCGGTGGCTTCTCTTGTGGAACACGGGCTGGGTAGTTGTGGCTCACGGGCTCTAGAGCGCAGGCTTAGTAGTTGCGTCGCACGGGCTTAGTTGCTCCGCGGCATGTGGAATTTCCCCCGGACCAGGGCTCGAACCCGTGTCCCCTGCACTGGCAGGGGGGTTCTTAACTACTGCACCACCAGGGAAGCCTGGGACGTTTTATGTTTAACTTGAGATCATAAAAACACTAACATTTAAAAACGTAGCCTTGATCCTAACCATAACTTTTTCTTTTATCAATCAGTTTCATGCCAGTACTGGGCATTTTGTGAACCTTGACAAGCATAGGCAAATTCTCTACTTACCTGTGTTTGAAAGTGACACATTCGGTGGTACTTTTTATAGTCATTACTGATTACTGATTAATGAAGCTTAATGATTATTGCTTCTCTTCTGTGTGCTCAAAATTACTTGTGCTTATCTCTTGGCGCTTAGTACATCATATTATAATTATCTGTATTTTACTCTCCTACCAGATTGTGAATTCCTTCAGGGGTATGATTTAATCTCTGTAGATTCAGGGCCTGACACACAGGAGGGGCTCAAATGTTTATTGAATGAGTATATAAATAAACACATTTAGACACTCACTGTATTACATTGGATAGATTCTGTTTAAAAACTTGAAAATGTTCTGATCTGGGTTTTATACCTATTGAAAAATTTGCATCGTATTTGAAATAAAGTCGCTAGGAACTTAGAGTATTATACTGTGAAGAATATTATTCTTTGTGTCCTCCTACTCTAAGAAATGACATCAGAGGATATTTTCTGTTGCTTTGTCATAGTTAGCAGCTCAGCTGAAAAATTAGTGGAGTAAGCACATGAGAAATGTGTTTACCAATGAAGACCTACCAGCTGACACTCATCTTGAGTGAGCACTAATACTCAATACCAAGAACGCTCTATTTAGTCTTAATGATGGTAAAGAAATCAAGTAGTTTATAAATATTAGGACTTTAGTATGACCATTGTTTATAAAATCTTAAAGGAAGTTTTAAAATTGTACAAATGATAATGTGTATTGAAAAAATATTAAGACAGTATAGAAAAGAAGAAAAAAGAACGGGGGAAAATTTCCCCCAAATCTTGCTACTTGGAAGTAACCCAAACATTTTGTTGAACAGACTTCTAAACATCTCTCTATGCATTTATATGAGACCAACACATATTTTGTGCTATACATGGTATCATATTTAAATTTTTTTTCCATCAGTGACGTGTCATGAGCACCTTTCCATGTCAGTACATGGAGATGTCTTATTTTAAATGGCTATATAATATTCCATCTTATGTACCGAGTCTTTTTTTTTTTTTTTTTTCGGTACGTGGGCCTCTCACTGTTGTGGCCTCTCTTGTTGCGGAGCACAGGCTCCGGACGCGCAGGCCCAGTGGCCATGGCTCACGGGCCCAGCCGCTTCGCGGCATGTGGGATCTTCCCAGACCGGGGCATGAACCCGTGTCCCCTGCATCAGCAGGTGGACTCTCAACCACTGCGCCACCAGGGAAGCCCCATACTCTAATTTTTTTAATCCATACTCCGAATGGTGGGCATTTAAGTTCTAATATTTTTATCTTACCTAAACACTCTCTATTAACCCTTTTTGTGGATATTTTTGCATACATATATGAGTATCTCTCTGAGGTAAATTCCTGGAAGTGGGATTTCTGGGTTAAAAAGAATGCTTACTTTAAACACATCTTACCTTATAAGCCTTCCAGAAAAGTTGCATCCACTTTGTACTCTCCTCAGGTATCTTAAAAGAATAATCATTACCTCACACCTTTGAAAGCATTAGATTTTGTTTATTTAAAAAAAATCTTTGCATGTCTGGCTGATGAAAGTCCACTGGGGAAAGCCAGGACATAGATGAAGCCCAGGGGAGGACAGAGTGACCGGCGGTGCAGACAGCCTGCTCGTTTTCTTTTCGGCGTCCCCCTTCCGTCCTCCTTTCTGTGGGCGGACACGTAGGAGAGTTTAAATAAACTCTGTTTAAATAAATAGGAAAAAAAAAACTTTGCAAAAGAAGTCTTATTTTCTTTACATTTTTCATTACCAATGAGGTTATACATCTTTTCATATCTTTATTGGCTTGACAAATATTTTGATGTTTGCCTGTAGCTCATGGTTGACAGAGAAGGAAAAATTTGAGGGAGGATGGATGCAAAAGCGCGAAATTGTTTGCTTCAACATAGAGAAGCCCTGGAAAGGGACGTCAAAACATCCTACATCATGGATCACATGATTAGTGATGGAGTTTTAACAGTGTCGGAGGAGGAAAAAGTAAAAAATGAGGTAAAGCCCTCTGAGGCAGTCTATGCTTTCTTAAAAATTTTTAGAATTTATTTCAAAACTTGTACTGGTCTCCACTAATTTATGTTGCAAATATATTCTTTGTAGTATACTAAACTACTTTTTTTTTTTTTTAGCCCACCCAACGGCAACGAGCAGCTATGCTAATTAAAACGATACTTGAAAAAGATAATTATTCCTATATATCATTCTACAATGCTCTGCTACATGAAGGGTATAAAGATCTTGCCGACCTTCTCCATCGTGGCATTCCTGTCATATCTTCTTCCAATGGCAAAGATTCAGTTGGAATAACTTCATATGGTTTGTATCCATGATACTTTCTATCATAAAGGCTCCGTTGCTGCAGTTTTGTCTTATTGTAGATGAAATCTGCTAGAGAGACTGATCAGTTCACTGAATCATGCATGTGAAAAAATTATCGTTTTCCAATTCAAATATTTTTATTTGCATCTATGTTACCTCTCTCATTTCCTTGCCCAGTGAACTATCTACTGCTGAGGTAATAATATACATACCATAATTTTTAGAGATAATACGGCAATTTATAGTCCTTTATTTAAGTTCTTCAGTTTTGTGTTTATCAAGTTCAAGCATAGGAAAGAATAAGAATCTTTAGAAATCTGTGTTCTTGAAAGCAATTCCATATTCTTTCCTTTACACTCTCAGTTTTTGGTATGAGAAAAAGATTGGAGAGTCAGGGAGGAATAGGGTGAGTAAGGGCAGATACAGATGGAGATTTTCATTGTCTTTAGTCATCTTGAGAGGTATATGTTTGCTTTTGTTCTGGGTGTTCTGAGAAATCAAAGTTGAAGTTAATATGCTAGCCACATTTTCTTACTTCTCTTGGAAATTCTGAGGCTGAGACCTCAGCCTTGCTCTCTTTGGTTTTTATGGTATTACTTGAGTAACCATTTCAGAGTTCTCTTCATTCATGCTTGTTTTGTTTTGGATTTCAGTAAGGACAGTCCTGTGTGAAGGTGGAGTACCACAGAGGCCCGTTGTTTTTGTAACTAGGAGGAAGCTAGTGAATGCAATTCAGCAGAAGCTCTTCAAACTGAGTGGTGAACCGGGATGGGTCACCATATATGGAATGGCAGGTTGTGGGAAGTCTGTATTAGCTGCAGAAGCTGTTCGAGATCATTCTTTCTTAGAAGGTAAGTTTTGATTACCATTGGTGGCTAAGAAGATATTGTTTAGGCATTGCATTAGTTTCCTGTTGCTGCTGTAATAAATTACCAAAACTTTTGGGGGCTTAAAACAACACAAATTTATTATCTTGAAGTTCTGGAGGTCAGAAGACAAAAATAGCTCTTACTGAGCTAAAATCCAAATGTCAGCAGTGCTTAGTTCCTTTTGGAGGCTCTAGGGAGAATCCTTTTCCTTGCATTTCCCAGCTTCTAGAGGTGGCCTGCATTCCTTGACTCATGGTCCATTTCCCCATTTTCAAAGCTGGCAGTGCATAGCATCTTCAAATCTTTCTCTCTTCTCTGGTCTTTGCTTCTGTCATCACATCTCCTCCCCTGACTTTCTTGCCTCCCTCTTACAGGGGCCCTTGTGATTACATGGGCCCCACTGGATAATCAAGGATTATCTCATCTCAAAATCCTTAATTTAATCGCATTTACAAAGTCCCTTTTGCTGTGTAAGGTGATATATTTACAAGTTCTGTGGAATATGTTGTGGAGATCATTGGCTGGTGCGGGGGAGCGGGGTGGGGGGGCATTTTTCTGCCTACCACAGGTGATTGAATTTGAATTTTATTTTCTGCCCTGCCTGTCACAATCAGGCTTGACTAGCCAGGCCAATAAATTCATGTGTTACCAGATGGCACTTATTATCAATGGAATGAAGCTAGTTCCCTCGTATCTTAATAATTGGGGGAATTGTAGGGTTGACAAAGTACCTTGAAAGGTTGTCCAGCTTGTATCCCTGACTTTCAACAGTACTAGACTTACAGCTTCCTGTCAGTTGAGTGTCTGTTTTGGCACAGAGTGTTGTAGGGAAGGAGATTGTTGGAAAGTCGGTTCCAATAAGGACCATCCCAGTGGGAGATTCTCCCATGTATTTGGCATCTGTATTAAATAAACTATTAATTCCATTTCCGCAATTAATTCTATCAGTTACTTATCTTTAAAAATAAAAATCTTTAGTAACTTGTTTATCTTATGTGTAATCTCAAGAAAAAGAAAAATTGTGAGTTGACTGTAACAACCAATGGGTTTTTGCAGGCAGGCTTTATAGATTCATTTGACATCTGGCAACTGATTTCCCTTGCTTCAGATATTCATGTATTCAATAAATACTTGAGAACCTATTATGGATCTTGGCACTGTTTTGGGGCAAAAGGGATTCAAAAAGAAGCCTGTGCATCTAAGGAATTTACTTACGGTCTGGTAAGGGAGGCAGACATACAAACAAATTACGTCATGTGTGATAAATTGAACAGTAGAAACAAGTATAAGGTACAAAGTTAGAACAAAAGAAGGAAGCTTTCTGTCTGGGGGAAGAAAATGAACAAGACAGGCTTCCTGAAATGACATTTTAGCTGGAGTTTGAAGGAAGAATAGAAAGAAGTTTGCAAGGCCGACTAGGCAAGGATGGGAGAGTAGAGAAGGTGGGAAGGGTATTGGGTAGTTACTGGAGTGGGGAAGGACATATGGTGCAGAAGAGGATTTAGGACATTTGGCAGGTGTACTGTTGACCCTAATGAGTCTGGTAGGTTCTCAGGGTATTCCCTATCAGGAATATTATATAGCTTCCTCAGTCTTTGGTTGCCTCCATCCATTTTCTGGGGAACTTAAAAAGATAGTTCCTGACTTCTAGTGCTTAATAACTTTTTTTTTTGTTTACAGTATATAATCACCAATTAAGGTAGTTTATGACTGGCTTCCCTGGTGGCACAGTGGTTGAGAGTCCGCCTGCCGATGCAGGGGACACGGGTTTGTGACCCGGTCTGGGAAGATCCCACGTGCCGCGGAGCGGCTGGGCCCGTGAGCCATGGCCGCTGAGCATGTGCGTCTGGAGCCTGTGCTCCGCAGCGGGAGAGGCCACAACAGTGAGAGGCCTGCAAAAAAAAAAGATAGTTTATGACAAGATGACAAAATGAATAGAGTAAATAGTCAGCACCTGAGAGATTTAGAAAGCTGGAGGCTAGGGCACATCTATTGTACACACCTGGTTTTAGTTAATACTTCACAGCCCTTGTTAACAGTATTGATCATACTCTTGTCAGAAGTAGGCCTAATTCCTAAGCCCTGGTTTTTCTCCTTTGTCATTGTAGAGAAGTTTCATGAGACTCAGAGCCATGCACATTTCAGGGCTAAGGATTTATTTATTTATTCACTCTTTTTTTTCCCCTCTCCTGCAAAGTTGATCACCAAGGATATTTCAGGATAAAATTGGTTTAAATTTCTTTAGTGTGAAGAAATGGTCTTCCTTTCAATATAGTGATGAATTTCCTTTAAACTATGTATTTATAATATACCAATTTATAGGGTTAAAATGTGCTCTTCAAATCAATTTTAATCGCTCTATATTATTGGGGTGAATTTTCAATTTTAGGGGTTAAAATTGACCAACAACTTATGGAATTAACTAGCCAGGAATCATATTATATGAATTGTGGTCTCGGAATAGATTTTCACCACTTCGTTTTGAGAAAATGCCAGAGATACTAGCAATTGTCCAGTGCATAATGAGCTTAATTCATATCCCTTATAAGCTTTTGTGAGATCTCAAGTACGGAAGATTGAGTAAATCATATTTCGTTTGTAGCCCATTATCCTATTAGGTCTATCTAAGGCTTAGCTTCTTACTGTGTTTATTTCCTTTTAAAAATTTCCCATTCTCATTTCCCTCCTCTAAAGGAAAACACACTCCTCCTATGTGTTTCCTTTACACAACTACAACACTGCTTCATTTCTGACACCAGATGCGTGAGTTTTCCACACATCCAGCAATTCTTCAACACGAGCTGGGTGTCCTGTGATTTAACTCACTTCTGAAACTATCTACCTGGAGATAGCATCAGATCCCATAGGTCAAGGGTTCAGTCCTACAAGACTGCCCCCTAACCCCTTCATATGCCAATTGCCAGTCCAGGTTGTTTGTTACCTGTGCTTCTGACAACTATACTTATTAGATTACTGGTTTATTATACAAGGATAAAACTCTGGAACAGCCAGATGAAAGAGATGCATGGGGCACGTATGTGGGAAGGGGTGTAGAGCTTCCGTGCCCAATTTGGGTGTATCACTCTTCCTACATCTCCTTGTGTTCAGCAACCCAGATGCTCTGTGAATCTTGCCCTTTTGGTTTTTTTATGGAGTCTTCATTCATTATGTAGGTATGATTGATTAAATCATTGGCTGATTGTGATTGAACTCAATCTCCAGCCACTCACTCCCCTCTCCTCTGGAGGTCTGGAGGGTGGGGCTGAAAGTTCCAACTCTAATCAAGGGGTTGGTTCCTCTGGTAACCAGCCCCTATCCTTAGGTTATCTAGGGGCTTTTCAGAAATCACTTTATTAACAGAAACTCAGGTGTGGTTAAAAGGGGCTTGTTATATGAATAATGTAAGACACCATTTCACTTTTATACCCTGGAGCTATTTCAGGAACAAAACTAAATAGTATAACAAAAGATGCCCCTAAGGCTCTTCTTATATGGGAAATTACAAGGATCTTAGAGCTGTGTGCCAGGAAGAGTGATGAAAACCAAATATATATTTAATCACAGAATTACACCTCCCCATAGGCGATCTTTCTAATGTATTTATTGTATATTCTTTGTAAATGTATGTGTAACGTATGTTTTCTTGTAAAATGTTTGTTTATATGTAAATATTTTAAATTTGCATACATGTTAAAGTGTTAATTATTTTCTTCTGTTTCTTATCTCACTTGACACTATGTTTTTAAGATTTATCCTTGTTGTATGTACATATTATTTGTTACACCTGATTGCTATCCTCCATGGGGTACCTCCAATACATTTTATTGTTCATTCCCTAGTTAATAGATATATAGATTGTCTCCAACTCTTTGCTGCCCCAGCAAAGCTCGGTTGAACTTTTACAGATATGAGAATTTCTTGAGTATATGTAGCTAGGACCAGAATCTCCAAGTTACAGGATATATAAATATCAAATTTGATTGCCCTCCAATCTGTGCATTCCCATCAATAGCATGTGAGGGCTCCTGTATCCTCACTTCTTTAGTGACACTAGGTATCATCCAGCTTTGTAATTTTTGCCAGGCCAGCAGGTGTAAAGTGATATCTTTTAATTTGCATTTCTCTGATAACTTGAGTTTGACCATTTCTTCATAAGCTTTTTAGGCTTTTGGGTTTCCTTGTTTATAAATTTTGTTGATAACATTTGTCAGTTTTTCCATTTTGTTGCTTTTTAGGAATTTCTTATATATTCTAGATAGTAGGGCTTGTTGCTTTTAGACTTTGTAAATACTTTCTCCTTATATTATCTGTATTAATTTTGTCCTGGATGTCCTTGATAGAAATCTTTAATTCTGATGTAGTCAAATTAATTTTTTTTGCCTTCTAATTTGTGTTTCCTGAATTTTCTTAAGTAGTCCTATTATAGTCTTACCATTCATATTTAGCTTTTTTAAAAAATAAATTTATTTTATTTTTGGCTGCATTGGGTCTTGGTTCCTGCACTCAGGCTTTCTCTAGTTGTGGCGAGCAGGGGCTACTCTTGGTTGCCGTCCGCGGGCTTCTCACTGCAGTGGCTTCTGTTGTTGCAGAGCATGGGCTCTAGGCGTGTGGGCTTCAGTAGTTGTGGCTCGCAGGCTCTAGAGTGCAGGCTCAGTAGTTGTGGCGCACAGACTTAGTTGCTCCGCGGCATATGGGATCTTCCCGGACCAGGGCTCAAACCTGTGTCCCTTGAATTGGCAGGCAGATTCTTAACCACTGCACCACCAGGGAAGCCCCATATTTAGCTTTTTAATCTATTTGGAGTCTGCTTTTGTGTATCCACTAGTTCAAGAGTAGATACTTTCCTAAAGAAAAAAAGTTTTTTTTTTTTTGGCTGTGCTGCGTGGCATGCAGGATCTTAGTTCCCTGACCAGGGATTGAACCCGTGCCCCCTGCAGTGGAAGCGTGGAGTCTTAACTACTGGACTGCCTGGGAAGTCCCCC